GGAGAACAATGTGGAACAAAACTCAAAATTATTTGGAGCAAAAAAAGTGGGGGACCAGGTTTGCCGGTCCAACAGAGCCTGGTGGAACCACTGAGACTGTGGCCCCTAGCTACCCTTCAGGTCTGAAATTGAACCCACACCTGTGGTTTCCAGCCAAACAAAATACAGGCATATGAGTCGAACATTTTCCTCAAGTAAGTACACTCCTTGGAGAGAACAATCATGGGAGAAAGAAGGGCTGCTTATGTACAGGGAGACAGCTCAGGGGGCAGGAGTCCATGGAGGGATGGACACTGGGAAGAGGTAACTGTGGGGAGAAGGTGGGAGGGGAGCTGTTGCATTGTGGTAAACTGGTCAATGTCATGAGACAAAGTGTATGTGAACTGCTGTATGGAAAATGAATTTGCTCCGTAAATCTTCATCCAAATCACAATTTTAAAAAAAAATTAAGATGCCTTTTGCAATTCCATTTGAAGCTGGGTCGGAAATAAGTAACAGCTCATTATCACAATGGTACTCTGGCATGAAGATTGAATGAGACAAGGTAAAGAAATTATAAAAGATGACATTTTGATCCCTTCTACTCTATTGCAAAAAAGGACCATCTATTAATTCATTTTTACCAGGAGGAGATTAATATATGTAAATATAATTGTCCTCCCTATTGGAAGCAACATCCCTATAATAACTCATTGCCAGGCGAGTCAGACCCGACTCACAGCGACCCCTCCTGGGGTTTCCAAGGCGATATCACTACAGAAATATATTGCCCAGCCTTCCTTCCAAGGAGTGGCTGGTGGGTTTGAACCGCCAGCCTTCTGGTTAGCAGTCAATAATAGAGTGAAAAAACAATCATATTTAACAGTTAAAAAGACGATCTTGGCTGTGTCCTTCATTTAAGCTATCTGGTCAGTCTCCTATCTGTAAAATGGGGGCATTGGATTGAATTTGCTTCAGGTCTTATTTTGTTAGGGAATTATTTTGCATCTGAAGCTGTTTCTGTTTAGTGTATGCTAGAGGAAAACATAGGTTTGCGGTTCTTGTCAGCACTAGAAAAGAATTGGGGCCATAATAAAGAAGCCTTTAAAATTTACAATGCAAGAGAAATTCCTGTAACAAGGTTAACATTTCTGATTTTTGATTGATTACATATTACATGTGACACATAATTAATTTTATTAGTAACTAAGTTATTAGTATCTTATTACATGAACAAGAAGAAAAAGAGCATATTCTTACTTTTGAAAATATTATCATACCTTTAAGTTATTTTCCAGAAGGTTCTTGCTATCCCAGAACCGCAGATCAGACTTGAACTTACTGGTTTGTCTTTCTGAGGCACTATGGGGTCCTGTAGAGATGAAATTAAATGATTTTGTATCATTGGGAAATTCCTAATGAATAAGTAGTTCAATTGTTAATCTTTCTTATGCTTCTAGGATTTATCATTTCCCATCTCCTGTTAAAAATATGATTGTCTCTACTTCAAGGAAATACTTGCATGATCTTGGTAATTTCTTTGTAGGTTTTGATACAGTAAGGTCGTACAGTGGTTAAGCTTTTGACTGCTAACTGAAAGGTTGACAGTTTGAACCCACCAGCTGCTTTGTAGCAGAAATATGTGGCAGTCTGCTTCCATAAAGATTATCAGCCTTGGAAACCCTATGGGGCAGTTCGACTCTGTCATATAAGGTCGCTATGAATCAGAATCAACTTGACAGCCACAAGTTTTTTGGTATATTATACAAATTCCTGCCACTTAGGATTAGAACAATGTCTGCCAAATTCTCAAGGCGTCTTTTGATACAGATGTTTATTCAAAGTGCATAACATGCAACATCTTGTTCATAATTGAGAGTAGCTTTCAAATGTGAAGAGAATGTCTTTCTAACTAATTACTGAAAAAAAATGAGAATTTTTTTTTTGTGAATACATTTATTTGTTTTAATGGGGGAAAAAATGGCCTGTTTTGTTTTATAGATATGATGATATGTTAGTAGTACCCATTATTGAGAATACACCAGAGGAGAAAGACCTCAAAGAACGAATGGCTCGTGCAATGAATGAATACCCAGACTCCTGTGCAGTGCTAGTCAGGCGTCATGGAGTGTATGTATGGGGAGATACATGGCAGAAGGCTAAAACCATGTAAGTGTAAATCAGAGAACTTTGGGGACAAGTCACCACACTCTAAATATGAAAGAACAAAAGTTTCATGATTTCAGATGCAGTATGAGAGGTTTTTTTTAATTGTTGTTATTGGCCAAATTGGTTTAATTTTAAATAATTATGATTATTCCTAGATATTTTTAGTATATATTCTTTCATTCAGAAATATGAACTATTTAGCAAGGCCTTATGTACTTTGTTACAAAGAGGAGGGAGACACAGATCCTATTCTCAAAGTTTAAAACCGGTAGGGAGAATAAAGAAAGCTAACTTAAGTAATGTAGTAATTTCCTATATTTATTTTGAAAAGTGGAACTTAAGTTTATGTATATAGTTTATTTAAACTCTCTTTTGTTTCTTGAGCAGTGTATAATATGGTCGCATGATTCACTATGATTCATTTCCAGGTTTAAAACTGGGGGCAAAATGAGAAACATTTGCCTACAACTGAGAAAAAAAATGTGCTTAGGAACCGGACAAAGTTAACTTGATGGAGAAGAGAAGTGAAATTATTTACAACTGACAAACTCTGTTTCACTAAATACCATATATTCTGTTTGCTTTTTCTTTTATAGGTGTGAATGCTATGACTATTTGTTTGATATTGCTGTATCAATGAAGAAAGTCGGACTGGATCCTACACAGCTTCCAGTTGGAGAAAGTGGAATTGTGTAAACCAATACAAAATTTAATTACATACAGAGATAAAGCAGCAAAATTTATTATTTAAATGAAATTTAACTTTTTTTAAATGAATTAAAAATTTCTTTGAAGTTTATTATGCTATTAATTTGTCACTAAATACCACAGATGACCAGACTTACTTAGTCTTCTCTGATATTAAATAATATTTGCTTGTATTCTTACAATTTTAAATGACAGACCGTAGAATAAAAATTTTATAATCAAGGCTTTTTATGTTTATTTTAAAATTCTTAACAGCACAGTATTTGCCTTTAAATGGATTCCTTTTTTTACATACTCTTAGAATTCTTCTTAATGTTTAAAGCTGCTAGTGATAACAAAATTCATTGTGAAATTTCCACTTAATTATGTAATGAGCATTTTTTTTTTAATATTGATATCAGAAAAATTAAGGGTCAGAGAAAAAGATGAAGACCTTCAACAAGACAGATTGACACAGTGACTACAACAGTGGGCTCAAGCATAGTGACAGTTGTGAGGATGGAGCAGAGCAGTGTTTTGTTCGGTTGCACACAGGGTCGCTGAGAGTCAGAGCTGACTCCATGGCACCTAAGAACAACAACGGTCAAAAACGTTATGATTAAAAAGTTAAGGCCGAACTTACCCCTCAGTGTTACTGTCAAAACAATTTTAAAGATTTCCTCGATAATATAGTTTAGGACAGTCATTTCATATTGGAATTGATTGTGAAATTATAGTCAGGAAGTATTGACTCAAACTCCTGTAGTCAAACAAACCCCGACCAAACCAGTGATGTAAACAGGAAAGTGCTTTTCAAATGTAGCCAAAAGTAACATCAACTTGATCTTAAAGGATTTTTGTTGTTGTTGTTGTTAATGTTGTTATTTTTTTAATTGGGGAGAAAATGAATAATAATTACACTGCATCCAAAATCTCAATTCCATGTACCCACCTTTCAGATTATCATCTTCCACCCTTTGAGCTCATTTAATCCAGTTCTTCCAGCAATTCTCTAACCTCATCTAGTTTTCTAATCCCTTGATTTTACCGCTTTACATTATATATTACTCTCTTTATGTCCTTACTTCCTTATAAAACATTGATTGCATGGTATTTGAACCATTTCAATACATCCTAACCCCATGTATCTGTCTTGCTCACCTGACAAAGAACTCAATCCTTGTTAAGCCACATTTTCATTTATATAACCACAACATCCTAACCCCATGTATCTGTCTTCTCACCTGACAAAGAACTCAATCCTTGTTTAGCCAAATTTTCATTTATATAACCACAACATCCTAACCCCATGTATCTGTCTTCTCACCTGGCAAAGAACCCAATCCTTGTTAAGCCAAATTTTCATTTACATAACCACATCAACTGATCTTACTTGATATTTAAAAACAAAACCAAACTCAGTGCCGTCAAGTCAAATCCGACTCATAGCGAGCCCTCCTTGGGTTTCCAAGATGGTATCTCTATGGAAGTAGATTGCCCAGTCTTCTAAGGAGTGACCAGTGGGTTTGAACCACCAGCCTTCTGGTTAGCTGTCAAATGCCTTAGGCACTATGCTACCAGAGCTCCCACTTAATATTTATGACCACAAATTTCAAGTGGGCACTTGATAACTGCTAACAAACTTACTACAGAACAAAAAACAAACCCACTGTGTCTTTGAGTCAATTCTGACTCAGCAATCCTATAGGACAGAGTACAACTGCTCCACAGGGTTTCCAAGGCTGTAAATCTTTACAGAAGCAGACTTCCTCATCCTTCTCCTGTGGCACAGCTGTTGGGTTCTGACCAGCAACCTTTTGGTTAGCAGCCAAATGCTTTAAACACTTCACCACCAGACTTCTTTAAACCTACTACAATTCCCTAGTAAATTTATTTTCCCAAGCTCGTGACTACTCTTTCTCAAATCAACGCCTTTTCCCCACCATCTTTACATTTCACCTCACCTCACCTCATACTCTACAATTCCTCTTCTCCCATACTCTTGAACCCACTCCAGTCAAGCTTTTATCCATTCTAAATCAGGCTTTTGTCCAAATCACTTTACTAAAACTTCTGTTATCACAGTCTTTGAGGATGACCACGTTGCTAAATCCAGTGATTAGACCTCAATCTTCATCTTGCTTAACCTATTAGACTTTAACATAATCAGTCCTCTTCTGTCAAACACTTTGTCTTCCACATCACTACTATCTCAGGTTTTCAACACACCTGACAACTCCTCAGTCTCTTCCTGGTTCCTCATCAGCTTTACAAAGTTGGGAGTACCCCATGGGTCAGTCCTTGGGCAGCTTTTCTCTATCCTCATTCCCTTGGTGATGTCTTCCATTTTCGTGGATTTAAATATCAGCTATACTCTAGCAACTGAGATTTATATCTGTAACTCACATATTTTCACTGGTGTCCATACTCATCTGATATCTCCCCACAAATGTCTAGTAGACATTTCAAGTATGTCCAAAACAGAATTCCCTATTTCCACATCTATCTCCCCAACCCATCCCAACCTTCCTGAAGTCTTCCACAACTCAGTTAATGGTAATGCCATCCTTCCAGACATGTTGTTGTTATGTGCTGTCGAGTTGGACCTGACTCCTAGCAACTCCTCCTTGAGTTTCTGAGGCAATATCACTACAGAAGTAGATTGCCCAACCTTCCTCCGGAAGTGTGGCTGGTGGGTTTGAACCTCTAGCCTTCTGGTTAGCAGTCAAGTGCCTTAGGCAGTATGCTACCAGAGCTCCTTCCAGACACATAGGTGCTCAGTAAATATTTGTGGTAGGGGAGACAGGCAGTCTTTGCATGCCCTTGTGACTGCTGTTCTCTCCATTACCTACTTTTTAATGGGGAAGGAGAGGAAGGTTGATTTGAACCGAGGATTAAAGTGGTAAGAGATCTGGATCAAACACGTTTTTTATTAAGTGCAGGATATTACATTCACTCTTAGATTGAACAAGGGATTAACATATTTTAGTCAAGAGTATGTCTTTTGTTTCTCAAGTGATTTTAGAGTCTCTTGGTCCCACCCAGCTCTCCTTTGTAGGAAGTACTTCAAAATAATATAGTTCCCCCAGAGAGTGTCCCAGTCAAAAAGGTAAAGTCATAATCCTAAGGAGAGTTTCATCTTCTATTTCAATTTGTTGAAATACTTCCCTTTTGATGAAGAGAAAACTTTGCCAAGTCTTATGATTTCTAGTCAAGGTGCTTAGATATGGGGCTGATAATATTGATATCATCTTTCAAGAAACATTTAAAATTCTCCTACCAAGATTCTTTAGAAAAGGTACTTCAAGATAAAGGGAATTTGGTTTTCATTTCATCTGATCTGTAATCCCTAATCGCTGAACCATGAGGTTTTAGAGATAATCACTTAGTCGTCTTCTGTCATAGTAAGTCACAATCCAAATTCATCTCTTTGTCATAATTCTCTACGTAATTTTTATTATCTGACATTATATTTTAAAGTTCTCACTGTATTCATTTCTGCCTATCATTATTTTTGGAACTTCTTGATTTAGAGATATACAAGAGTTGTGAAGATAAAATAAACGATTCATGTTAAGTCATTAGAAAGATGCCCAACACAGACATATTGCTCACTAAATAGTAGTTATTGTGGTCATTAAACTAATCATTGTTGTTGTTGTTGTTGTTATGTGCCGTGGAGTCGGCCCCGACTAATCATTAGTTGCCATCAAGTCAGTTCCTACTTAATGGCGATCCCATTTACAGTAGAATAAAACCTTGCCAGTTCCCACACTATACACACTATCACGGGCACGCTTGAGTCCATTGTTGCCTTACAATCTAGGGGGCTCATCTCCAGTACTAAATAAAACCCACTTCCACTGAGTCAGTTCTCACTCATAGTGACCCCCATTGGATTTCCAGGGCTGTAAATCTTTATGAAAGTATATTGCCTCATCATCCTCCCATAGAAAAGCTGGTAGTTAGTAGCCAAATGCCTTTACCCTTTACACCATCAGAGCTCCTTCAGTACTACATAGCAGATGCTATTCTGTTGTGGTTCATGGAGTTCTCATTGGCTAATTTTCTGAAATAGATTACCAGGCCTTTTTTCTAGTCTGTCTTAGTCTGAAAGCTCCACTGAAACCTGTCCACCATGGGTGACCCTGCTGGTATTTGGAATACTAGTGGCATAGCTTCCAGTACTATAACAACACACAGTCACCACAGTATAACAAACTGACGGATGGTATTAATCATAATTGCCTCTATTTATTGAGAAGCTACAACTATGTACCAGGCATTATACTAAGGACCTTTAAACACATTATTTCCAATTCTTACAGCAACCGTTAAGGGTATTACTCATTTTACAGACAAGAAAAATGAAATTCAGAGGTTAAATTTTATCCGAGTAAATAATTTACCAAGATCATTCAATAAGTCCTTTGCACATCCCCACACTAGCTCAACTTTATCTCTCTTGTTACAATACTAATTGCTCTTGTGAGTTTAAGGGAGTGTCACTCTTAGAGCATATTCTGCTTCCAATATAAGAATTAGGGACTTAGGTCTTTAATGCAATTTTCGATGGGTTCACCAAGAAGCATCTTTGATCCCACAGGACTATTATTACCCGAAAATTTTGGGGGGGCTATTAATTGATGCATTGGATTTTTATTTATTATTTGAATCTATGATTAATTTTTATCTTTAAAAAATAAATACAGGAACCTATACTTTTAATAATTACTTTTTACCTTCCATAATTGATATTATTTATTATTGCAAGGGCTACATTTTTGCAAATGAAGTATAATTTTTTTTCTTTTGCTATACAATAGAGCTGCAGCTTTAGATTTGAAAGTTAATGAGTAAAGTGAAAATCTCCAATAGTCAAAATTATGTTAAAAATCCCTTAAATTACACAATACAGTACTTTGTATGTGATTCATATCATTTCATCCTTTCAATAGTGTTTGTCTGTGGCCCTCAATTGATCAAGAATTGATCAAGCCGTCACCACCAAACATGTAGTGACTGCTTCATCAATGTGCTTTGAAATCACGAATTTTCCCATTAGTTTCAAAACTGTTCATTGATGGTTTAGGCTTAGTTGCATCCGTCACTTTTAATGTAAGTAAGGATATTGACGTCTCTTTAAATTACTTCTAGGCATTTGACTGCTAACCAGAAGGCTGGCGGTTCAAACCCACCAGCCACTCCTCAAAAGGAAGATTGGGCAATCTGCTTCTGTGGTGATACTGCCTCAGAAACCCAAGGAAGGGTCACTATGAGTCTAATTCAACTTGACAACAGTGAGTTTGTTAGAAAAATGATTGAATGACATTGTAATTGGAACTCACTAGTTAGTAAGGAATGGTCGTGGATTCAC